ATATATATATTTATTTAATTTTTTATTTTTTTGTAATTTCCAGAAGAAAACATTTTTCCTACAATATCAGCAAAATTAATTCTGGACTATGAAAGAATGGAGTGATGTTATCAGCTGACGCTAACAAGCTTGGTTTGCAAGGTGCATCTGTTAGTACAAAGTCATAAACCCAAACTGAAGAATGGACCTGTCCGACCGGCACTAGGACAATATTAGGACAATATTAAAAAGGTCCTAGAAGGCATCAGTACTATAAACATAGTTGAGATGTCCAGTTTGTTAACTTGAATTAATGGGGTGAAGCATTGCAAACAACTTAGTCATAGACCCTAAAATGAACAGCACCACCAGTTGGTCATCAGATGAACGTTTGTGTATCAGAACCTGTAATTCTTCTCTGCAAGTTGCATGCAGTGAGTTTGTTTAAGCTGTAGACAATGCAGGTGCCCTTATGGCTGAACCTTCTATCAGTAAAACTCTGTTTTGTTATGGACAGGTGCACAACTACAGCGGCCCCCTGCGTGTTCGCATCTCATTGGTGACAAAGAACGCACCATACAAGCCTCATCCTCATGAGCTGGTTGGAAAAGACTGCAAACATGGCTACTATGAGGCTGACCTGCAGGAGAGACGGATACACAGGTAGGACTAGTTTGTATGTAAAGATAAAATCAGACACTTCAGAGAAACCTAAAAGGAAAAAAAGCAATACAGAGCGCTACGGCGTCTCGAGGAAAACTGCAGTTTCAGGCTAATGCAAAGTGGAGTTTTGCAGTGACTGACCTAGATTAGCCTTTGATCGGTTCTGGAAAATGACGTGTGTACTGTCACCTTGCTTGGTGTCTAGATGAGCAAAAATTTAACAGAATACTATTTTTTAGTACAAAAGAGTTAACATTTCCTCTGTATTACAACCAGAACAAAATTTCCACAAGTTGGAAAACCCCCCCAAATCATTCCCAATTTGGTTCTGAAGTGGAAATACTGACTGATAAGATATGTTGAAACCTACTGAACCCATATACCTGGCAAGACATGACAGTTTTTTCTGTCTTCATTGAAACAGTGACAAAGGTCAAACAAATCAGCTTGTACTCCAGACAGACGTGTGCACTGTGATTCAACATGAGCAATTGCACGTGCTTATGTTAGGCAATTGTTTTTCACACTGAACAGTTTATATCCTGATCATTGCTCTAGATCACCACACGAGTTATAAAAGGGAAACCGTTACACTGTTGTTTCTAATTACAGTCTCCCTGGAGTCTAAATTAATAAAACATCCTGTTAAATAACCCAGAAAAGTACATAAAACATCTGTATGCTAGGAACAACTTTTTTTTAATTGTTAAACTATATTTGACTGTGACTAACAACAATAATAATAAAAAAAATAAATAATAATAATTAGGTTAGGTTATAATGCAGGTATAATGCAGGTACTGGACACAAGCAGTTCAAACACAGTCATTAGTGCAGCCAGAATAAGGGAAGATATGGGGTAGAAGTCAAGAACAGCAAATACTTCAGGAAGTAGCAGTGCAATGTTTGTTAACAGAAAAAGTAAACTGGGTCAAAAGATCATTGCATGAACTGTGTTGCTAAATGTCTAAAAAGTTGTTTTGTGTTTTTGTCCTTTCAGTTTTCAGAACCTGGGTATACAATGTGTGAAGAAGAAGGATGTAAATGAGGCCATCACTTGTAGACTGCAGACAAACAATAACCCATTTAACAGTAAGTGGCCGTAGTTAGAGATGAGTCTCCACCACAGATTTTAGTGATTGTTTATTTTAACTACCTTTGTCCTTAAAGGATATGATAACATCATTTTGGAGGATAATTGTAATCATGTGCTTAATTTGGATTACTGACTTCTTCTCATGCAACAGCTATGCGTTAACTTCTGTATGGTCAACTCTTATCAACAACACTAAGCAAATTCTACTTCATGTTTGTTACTGAGACGATAGCGGGTGGTGGCTGTGTGCTGAAAAGTAGTATGACAGGATGCAGTGGTTTGCTTGAGTGTTTTATTGTGTGTTGCGTACCACGCCCTTTTCCTTCTCTTTCTTGGACACAGTTCCCGAGGCTAAGGTGTGGGAGGAAGAGTTTGACCTAAATTCAGTCCGGCTTTGCTTCCAGGCCTCCATCACTCTCTCTACAGGGGAGCTCTATCCTCTGGAGCCTGTGGTGTCACAGCCCATCTATGACAACAGTGAGTTGAACACAGCAGACGTGAACAGAAATGCATATGCACCAAATTAGCTGATATACATATTTCTTATATGTTAATAATATAAGGTAAGAGGTGCTTATAGTAAGTACTGTACCATGTAGAGAGACGAGTATCAGTTTGAGCTCTCTGTACCAGCACGTTCACACGTATAATCACGACTATAAAACTTCCAAATGTCCTGCAGCCTTCCATGCCCTCAGTGATTCTCTGTTCCTCTTTGCAAATTAATGTTTCCTCTCAGTTTGAAGGTATTTACAAGAAATAGACATCACCACAGACTCACTTGTGGATCAAATACATACATCTGTGTGTTTCTCCAAACGGCTGAAAAGTTTAATTTCACTTTCTACAAAAGTAGACAAAGCAAGCCAAATAAAACGGAGACGTTAGCCACCCAGGTATCGAAGTGCCAGCCAGAGCGGGCCTCACTGTGCGTTTAGCATGTGTGTGATATTTAAGTGTTGCACTACTATCGTGTTCATCGGCACATAAAGGCTTTTGTTCTGTCTTGCAGGGGCTCCAAACACAGCAGAGCTAAAGATCTGCAGAGTCAACCGCAACTCTGGAAGCTGCAAAGGAGGGGATGAAATCTTTCTGCTGTGTGACAAAGTGCAAAAAGGTACAGTGTTACTGTACAGATACCGAAAGAGCACCGCGGCACACAGCACAACTAAACCTACACTTTCAGACTGAATAATCCATAAATAGAACTCAGGACTGAGTAAGCAGATGTAAAACTTCCAATACACGTAGAGCGGAAACGGTGTAAGTCCTTTACACCCACAGAAGATTGTGTGAGAAGAGAAGAAGTTAGAAGCAAGTGGTCTCAAAATAGAAGAGTGACTCACTCACTTAATAAAGTATACTATATGAGGTGACTGGGTTTCCATTTTTTACAGCAGCTGTCATGGCTTAGTTTCCTTCTTCAAAACAGCAGATGTGCTAATTATGCATGTAATGGATATATTAAAAAAGCTTAAAAAAGGCAGACTACCTGGCATTACACACTAAACTGAGCCGTCCTATATCATAATGCAACTTACAAACACGTGTTAGAGAGACATACTGAGGCTTTCAGTGCTCATTTCCCCTTTAAGTTAAAGCAAGTCCACTTTTTTACTGGACACACGTGGTTAGCCAACCTCAAGTAGAACAACACTGTGTCTTCTTAGAGTCAACCTCAGGATCTCTTATTCAAATAAAATGTTCTGTATTTCTTAACCAATCGACGGGTCACACTGGAAAAAATCTGTTCTTTCCAGATTAACTAAATCAGTTTTACCCTCATTCCCCTAAAATGTTTTTTAAAAAGGCTTTTTTATCTGAAAGTTTTACTTCTACCACTGCCTTTCCGGTTGCCAAATTATCTGACAGATTCCACTTCAGAGAAACAACTAAGGAATAACACGATTGTGTTTGTCCAGAGCAGTGAGTTTACACAGTGATATCATTTTTGTTGTTGTTCAGATACAGAATAGGCTGCTGGCTGATGCCAGAGCCAACAAAGCTGCCACTTAATGAACATACGTAGGTCAAATATGCCGATACTGATATGTCTAAACTCGAAGCCTCAGGCAATAAACACAGAAATTGTTTGAACATTATAATACAGGTCACCTGTACTAAAAATATTTACTAGTCTCTTTGACCATGTGTGTTACTCCTACGTCTTCTTTGGCATGCTGTGACTTAGACATTCTAAGTAAACATGTAGTGAACATTAAGCTTATAGATGTTAGACAGCGCAGTCAACAACACTGCGCACTGTACAATCATTGAGAATATTCTTGAATGACTGCACACTGACTGCTAATTAATGTTGGCTAATGTCAGACATATGGAAAACTGAAATTTGTCTGGGCTAATTGTAGACAAGGAAAGATAAATAATGGCTCGGTCTTGAAAGTCATTTGATGAAGCACTTTTCTCATAATGAAAGTAACACCAGCAACTCTACCAGCTGTTGTTATGTTATTTATGTTATTGATTTAATATTGTAATATAGCATGTAGTGCGATATCCCATGTTTTATGAATTCTTTGGAACCAGATCATTCTATTTGCTAGTCACTGCTTCCCATTAATAGACTTTAAAGCCACATTAATCAAGATATTGCACTATAATACTAACTACCTTTGTCCTTAAAGGATATGATAACATCATTTTGGAGGATAATTGTAATCATGTGCTTAATTTGGATTACTGACTTCTTCTCATGCAACAGCTATGCGTTAACTTCTGTATGGTCAACTCTTATCAACAACACTAAGCAAATTCTACTTCATGTTTGTTACTGAGACGATAGCGGGTGGTGGCTGTGTGCTGAAAAGTAGTATGACAGGATGCAGTGGTTTGCTTGAGTGTTTTATTGTGTGTTGGTTTTTCCTGTCTGCAAACTTTGAACTCACTGAGGGCAGTGGTTTGCTTGAGTGTTTTATTGTGTGTTGGTTTTTCCTGTCTGCAAACTTTGAACTCACTGAGGTTGTTTTCAGCCGCAACAGGCAGCAGGTCTCAGCAGCAATGAGAGAAAAGTAGTGACAGGACTTGATTTAGGTGGACACAAAGATGACTCCAAAGGAGTGCTAATGTTAGCTGCTAGGAAACTGCTGTAGGTGATGATGGAAATTTAAAAAAATATGTTGACTGAAGCATCACGTATGCACTTCAGAAACCTCTGGGTTCAGACTGTGCCTTTGTTCCACATGTGGGATTTCATTGCATCTCACAGAAGCTGCTGTGGGTAACACAATGAAAAGCAGTCACCTAATCTGTTTTTGTACTGAGTTAAAGCTTTCTTCTTCTTCTCATTCTTTTTCAGTTATTTTCTCAAGTTTCTGTACAACAGTTTCTTTTAAAGCGATCACTTTATGCTCATTATAAAAGCCTTTTTTTTTCTTCCCTCACTTATCTGCTGCTGTTTGATCATGGCACGCATATATGCTTTGTATTTTGGATGTGGGTGCTCCCCTGAGTATCATTTGATACATCTTAAACTGGATACAAATTGCATCATTGCGAAAAAAAAGATTGTGAGAAGGCTGAATTTTGTACTAGTTCATCTCTTGGTCCTGCTGACTCTGGGAGCCTGTCACACAGCTACTTTCACAACGAGCGGAGCTGCCACATATCTGCTTTGAACATTAAACCCTTTTGGTTGAAGTTTAACAACTGAAGCTGGCTGCGAGCCTTCTAAGTTGTTGTTAAACTTGAGTGTTGCGTAGCAGCAAATGTGATGTAACACCCCCGGGGTCTTTTCTCTGTTAATCAAAAACATCAGAGCTGCTTTTGCACCGAAGCCGGCGAGTTAGTGCCCGATTATCTGATTATTCTTTTTGAGTTCATCACCAGCTGCAGTATGTTGTTACATTTGCCATTTTCTGTTTCCCTGCAGAGGACATCGAGGTGCGTTTCTTCCAAGACTCTTGGGAGGGGAAGGGCACTTTCTCCCAAGCTGATGTCCACAGGCAGGTGGCCATTGTGTTTCGCACTCCGCCCTACCGTGACACTAACCTCACTGAGCCAGTGAGAGTCAAGATGCAGCTCCGGCGCCCCTCTGACCGAGAAGTCAGTGAGCCAATGGACTTCCAGTACCTGCCATCAGATCCAGGTAAAATATATTATATGCAGAAAATGTGCTGAATATGTGCATCTTTGCTCAAATTTAACTTCTTTATCATTTCCACCCTGGCAGATGAATACAGGCTGAGTGAGAAGAGAAAGCGGACAGGAGATATGTTCCAGAACCTGAAGCTAGGGCCCTTGCTATCTAGTGGTAGGTTAATAAGATTTTTTTTCCGTCAGCTGAGCATAGTATAATTGGATAATGGTTACACTGTTGTTAAGCACGGTATTATAAAGACGTCTTCTGACATTTCAGTGACCACTCCACAAGATAGACAGCACCTAAACCCATCAAGGAGAAAGCTGACAGCCAAGCCTCCATTACTGAACCAACAAGCTGGTGAGTCTGTTGCAGATGTTCCTTCCTTATTTGAACTCATTTGAAGACATTTTACTTTACTTCCTGATATCTTTTACACCAACTAACAAATGGATTCATTCAAAAATTGTCATGCTTGGCAAATGTAATTTGATGATAGTTAATGTCCGCTTATAATAAATAATACTCTAAATAATAAAACAGTAATTTAGATTGGTGTTAGTTTCAATCTCCTCGTCTTCCTGTCTTAAAGCAGTTGAAATATGTGAGAAGGATTTTCTGCAGTGAGTTCTCAAATCACTTGCTTGTGTTTGCAGCAGCTGTGGTGCCCACTGGTCCCACTGGGGCAAAATCACATCCCCAATACTCCTTCCAACCAGGCCAGCTATTTTCTGAGCAGACAAAGGTAGAAGCCTCCAACATGTCAGCAGCTCCTACCAACCAGTGGAAGATGACAGCCCTGGGCTCCCAACCAAAAGCAAACCCAGTGTCTAGCTTTTCAATGAACCCATCACCGGCCACCGTCTCCTCTACCATCACTTCAACTTCCAATCAGGACTACTCAACAGTCAACCTGTCAGATCTTCATGAATTCTTCCCCAACATTTCCTCGACTATCACTCAGCAGGAGCCCTCAGCTTCTCAAGTAAACTTGGCCTCTTCACAGACAAGCAACTCCTTCGCCCTCCAGAGCACTCAGTTCCGGGGAGAACCACCACTTGTGGATGACGATATCCCAGATTTCCCTAGCTTCACTGAAGGCCAGGTCCCAGTCAACCTGGACAGCCTCAACATGGATGACTTGGAGGATCTTCTGAACCCCCCGCTTGTTGGTGTAAATCATCCTTCATGTCAGCCGACTGGCCCTTCGGGCTCCTCTACTGCTGCCCAGACTAGTGCAGCATCTCAGAACACTTCTGACCCTGCCAGCAACCCAGGAAGCACTTGGATGAATTACCCCAACAGCATTGTGCATCTGCTCCAGAACGAAATCATGACAGACAGCAGACCCAATAACAACCAAATGCTCGAAGACTTCGATGAGTTGATGTCTGCTGATGAGGACCGTCTTATTTCCATTTTTAACAGTGGAAGCCAAGCTGGGTTTGTGTCAGGACACCCGACTTAAAGTTTCTTTCATTTTCCCAAAGACCAATTGTATCTTCCCCTGTGGCCATCAGGACTAAAACTTCTTTATTATTGTAAGGCAAAAAAGGAAGTAGGCAGAGGAGACCGAATGTAGCAGCACTGCTCACTGTGGACACACTTCTTAAAATACCAGCAATGACTTTATGGTATTCAGTCTGACGCCTTGCCCAGTCATATAGTTTGTCTGATAAATTGCAAAACCCATAATGTAGGTGATCAGATTTCATGCCCTGTGAAACCATGTCCAGCATCTGTGACTAAACGTTTAGGTCACTGTCAACATATTGATGGTGGAGACAGATTCTCCAGCGAATGTTTTAAGAAGACAGACAGCATGGGTACTTTGATAAAGGTATCCGGTGTGGTGATTATTTTTGGAACATGTTAAGCATGTTTTTGTATTGTCATTTGAACAATTTTGGTAGCTGTGGCCACAAAAATGTGCAGCTTTTGTCTCTTTTTTTGTCTTTATACAAAAGGGTTCATATATATGTAATCAGATCTAGAGGTAAGTCTACACAGATTATGTCCATTTTTTAAAAAAATAATCTCTTTGGATTGCACCATTGTTTTCTGAAGGTTAACACAAACTATCTGAATGTCTTGGAAACAAAATGAAGGTGTACATTTATCAAACAAGCAACATTACTATATATGTGCTTATACTAGAGATTGTGCTTTTTATGTGGTAATAGTTTCCACTGCTCTGTAATCAGTTTTTCTACACTTATTTTATCAGTAATGGTTGCATTTTAACTCAGCTGTTTCAGACTTGCTATTCTCTGCAGTAAGGTGCTTTACTGAAATGTAATTATGTTTTTACGTGTATTATGAAAGTGGATCGTAGTATAATTGTGCTTTTTTTTTTTTTTTGGAATGAGACTTTGTCAACATACAAAACACTGTTTTGGCAATAAATACCACAACATATAAAGACGATTTTCAAAAGAGTATTTTACTTTGCAACTCTGTAACTGTTATACAGTACAAAGGGGGGAAAAAAAGCCGAACGCAAGAGACAAATGTAAAATGGCAACAAGGAGTGCTTCAGTGGATCTTCTGAAAATGTGCATACAAATCAAGGATGTTAGTGTTCTTCCCATCACTCGAGCCTGTTAGAATCTTGTTAGTACTACTATTCTTGTATACAATATTTTCAATACAAAATAAAGAATCTGAAAGTGTTTCAGGTCATTCAGAAAATTTTACAACACAAAAAGAAGAGACAAATTTAGTGTTTTGGATTTTTTTTTTTTTTTCCCAAAAAAAGAGAAAAGGATGAACTTGTGATCGGAGTTCAACCAATGATGTTCTAAATAGTTGCAGTCAGAGGACTGTACTGTCCAACCCATCTCCTGGGATCATCACGCACCTCTTCACATACTGTTACAGCAAAACTCCTCTCTTGGTCTGAGTGGCTTATGTTACCTCAAGATTGGTAACTTTGTTGATGATGTGGGAACGCCTGGGCACACACTCCAGGTCGAACTTGCTCTCGTATATGGTGGGGCAAACATTCCAGCGGTTGTTCCGATAGATTCCCAGGTATGTATACACATCTGGCTTGTAGGAGAGAGGGCATTTGACCCCTGTGGCACGAATGACCGAATCCAGCCTCATGACCTCATTCTCATCAGTGAAGTTCTGGTTATAGGCACAAATGACCTGCTTGCCCTCTGCCTTGCGGTCAAATGGGCTGACTTTAACGAGTGAGATCTTACCATCTAGGGCTGCTCTTGCCACACATTCCCAAGCGTGGTCCAACTTGAAACCAGTGTCCAAGTGCATAAGCCACTTGCCTGAGAGTACCCTATGGTTCAGGGCCAGCTCCCTCACTGTCTGGAAGGTGACGGGCCGGGAACTCGCCAAAAGTTTCTCCCAACTCTCCTGGAGTCCTGTGACATCCGCACCACTGGGGCAGTGGTTTGGGCCCACCACAGCAATCCACCCCACAGGGCTGACGCCACCCTCCTCGTCTCCAAATCTGGACACTTGGGAGGGCCTGTTACTCTCCAACCAGCCATCAAACTCGGATCTGGGAGTTCTTCTAGAGTCAAAAACAATCCAGGGGTCCATGTCTGCAGCCATGGCTTCAGCAGCATAGGTCTCTGCAGCAAAGGGGGTCCTCATCTCGCCATCAACTGGGCCCTCTTCTTCCTCCATAATGGTATAGCAGTTACACGAGTAAACAAGTTCTTAAGCCTGCCTGTTGAGTTGAAGAATGCAGTTATTATTTGTATAAAAACCACTGGTTTAGCCTCTGTGTTAGCTTACAACCCTTTTGCTGTTATTTATTAGCTTACAACCCTGCCAAACTTCGACAGAAGTGGACAGCTGAATTGCTTATGAATGCTACTAGCTAGCCTGCTACAACAGCGAAAGTTAGCGTATCTCTACCACTGATTCAGTTTTACACTAAAGCTGCTATCGACCCCAGTATACCGCCTACAGCTGACATGTCAAAGAACACGCAGAACAGCTTTCTGACTGCTAGCATTGTTGTAGCTAGCCGACAAGCTAGTCGTCTTTATAAATGTACACACTCGTCCTGGCTAGCCATTTCTAGCCAGCTGTTGAATACAACTGACGCTTTAACATTCACAGTTTCCCCATTCAAAACGTAAATAGTCGCACGTCGATGTTAAACTTTGAACATAAAGGCTTACTCTAGCCGTAGATGTCGAAGTTTGTTGTTCAGTGTTGATCTTCCGCATAAGCGCAGCAGCTCCTCTGTATCTAAGAGCCAAAATCCATTCAGGTGGCTGGGAGTTTAACTAATAATTATTTATACATCAATTAAATTACGTACCTCGTCCACAAATTCGACGGTATGTAACACGTGATATAAATATATATTTTTACGTTTTGCTATAACATAATTTTAAACATAAGTTATGCTGTACTAGATTCAGCGACTTTTAAAAAAAACTTGCATGTTCCTCGGTATGTGTACAAGTCAAATATGTAAGTTTCCCACATTTGTATTTTGTTAAGCTTTAAAAATAAACAGGTTCCATTACTATGGTTAAATAAAAGTATTTCTTTTCCTTGCATTTGCGGAACGACATGCGCTCCAACCTGACGGCACGGAGACCCTGCGGAAACAAACTGACCGCACCGAGGAACGAGTGACGAAGACGATGTGCTAACTAGTTAGCCGGATAGCCACCACTATCTGGTGTGTGCGCGCTGGAGGCGAATTTCTGTATGAAATAGAATACGAATATAGCATATATTGTATTTTATTTTAGTTTAGCCACCCAGGTAATTTAATTATGCCCAGCAAAAAGAAGAAATACAACGCCAGATTTCCTCCGGTAAGTTTAAACTGTGCTGAGCCGGTGTCAAAGCAAGCTAACGTTAGCAAAGTGTAACATGGAAAGCTAAGTTCTGTAACTAGCTTAAGTGGAATTCGGCCTCTTTTGTTGCTTAGAGAGCGTACAAGCCATCTAACACTCCCAAACCATTTAGCATACAAAGCACATGCCTTAGTGAAAAGTAGTTGATGTCATGAAATTAGTGACCAAACATCCCCTGTATGTCATTAGTTGGTGGTGTACACACATAGCAGGCGTGCTATTTAAGTTGGTCTACTAATTGACGTTGTTTTTAGCATCTCAAGCTAGGCTTAACGGCACGTAAATAAATGTGAATAAATCCATTCTTTATTGTAATAAGCTGGATAATGTATCTACAATCCTCACACTACGTGAGTAGTGTAATAGTAATGATTGCAGTTACTTTGTGGGGACCTCACGTTATTCGATGTGCTGTACTGCAAACTCTTTACTAGGTTGTCCCCGAATTTCAGCGCGTTTTCACTGAAAATGTTTGTTGTTGTTTTTTAAGAGAAAGAAAATTTGAAGCGTTGCTGTAGACACATGCATAAAAATCGACCTTTTCTCATTTCAGGCAAGGATTAAGAAGATTATGCAGACAGATGAAGAAATAGGCAAAGTGGCTGCAGCAGTGCCTGTTATTATATGTATCCTTCCTGCCTGCAGTCGTCACTGTGCAAGTTCTGTCTTGAATTATAAATTGCAAAAGACTGATTAATAATTAGAGAAAAATGCTTCCTCAGTCTGTTGTATTGTTGTGTCAAGTTGTCTATTATTGCATGTTTGATAGTTTGATGATTTTAAAGTACAAACACACCACTGCTTCACTGTACTTCCCTTATCCAAGATATCAGCAAGAGCACTGGAGCTTTTTTTGGAGTCCTTGCTTACAAAGGCTTGTCAAGTCACCCAATCTAGGAATGCAAAGACAATGACAACGGCACATCTGTAAGTTCTGTGTTTGTCTTCATTGAGAGCCATGTCTGTGTTGCACTGTGTTGGAGATGAACTTCTTAGGAAGGCAAAGCCATCTGCTGTTCAGATCACTGGTATATTATAGCCAGAAAGAGGTAGTTGAAGAAAAGGGGAAAAGTTGTTTATATAGAATTGTATTTGTTTTTAATGAGTGTAGCTGAAATGCTGTCAGGCCTTTATTTTGTTTACTTTTAAAGTGAACTCATGATGAACTTTCAGCTCGATAATTTCATTCTTGGACTTTACTAAAGTAGCTTTGCTTGATTCACATTTAAAAATAACGATTATTCATAACATACACAATATACTTATTTTAAGTCAGTTTTCTTCTGATTAATTTTAACAGTACATTTAACAGTTCTTTCATCTCATTTAATCAAATTTCACAAAATGGGAATTGTGCAAAATTTCAGGACTTCAGTCATTAGTTTAGTCAAAAAATAATCCTCAGTGAAATGTTGAAAATAGGAGTGTTTTTGAATAATTCCCTAGCATAATTTTGTTTTTACATGACAACATGTACCAAATCCAAATTGACTTTTTAAGTAAAGATTGTGATGGTTTTCTTTCTCATCTAAGAAAAAAATGCCTAAAACACTTTAAAGTAGATAATGTCATTTTAAAGTCGCCCCTCAAAAATGATGTTGGCTAAAAACAGTCTAAAAACAGCCCTACCATCATCCTTTGAAATATTTTTAAGAAAGCTAATGACAGCCGGAACCTGAAATTTTCCACGATTCCTATTTAGGATGTGTATCCTCCACCTGGAATGTTTTTTCAGGTAAGATGGTGAGGTGGGAAAGCATTTGATGAACTAACAAGGACTAACCCTACACATTGCAAAAAGATAAATGAGTAAGGAAAATCATTATGAGCTGTCTTTACAAAAAAAATGGCATTCTGCTACACAGCGTGATTTACTGTGTGGTGGGAGCCTGATAGTTCTGTGGAGCACATTTGCAGCACATTGCTGAATCCCTTGTATCTGAAAGTATTTCTGGCCTGAGTAAGACAGCCCGCCAAAACAATCTTTCCCTGTGACTCAGACTGTATGTGTTGCTAAAATGAGTTTGTACCACCATTAAGCTTGCTGTCTTTTTGATAAAAGCTTATATTTCACTTGGCAAGTAAGGCTGAGGAGAAAACTGTTCATATTTATTCACAGAAAGCAGTGCATTGAGCTGGAGCAGCAGTTTGATTTTTTAAAAGACCTGGTTGCGGCGGTGCCAGACATGCAGGGAGAGGGGGAAGAGAACCACACCGAGGGGGGAGGAGAGAAAGTCCCACGGAGGTAACATTCGCTCACACAGACACCCAAACACGTAGAGAAAGAGTCATGATGCTTTGAAATGGAAAGAGTATTTCACATACACGATGAAAACACTCCAGGGTGATATGAGGCAGCCAATCCAGCTGCAGATAATTTGGACTTATTTCATTAAGCAGTTTGTAATTCAGTCAGCTCTGATAAGTGCACACACGCACATCGGTTTAAACTAAAAACGATTCGCTCCACGAACAGACAGAATCTGTGTACGTTATCTTTTCCTCTTCTGGAAATGAGCACTGCTGTAAATTGGTCTATAATCCTTGCAGTGTTACCGTACTCCCGTGTTCCTTTAGTTTTGTGATTCTAGATTATCTCCCCAAAAATAACAGAAGAAAATGAACGAACTGGCCAGAGCAAAAATTAATTATTGAGGAATTGTAGACAAGAAAATGCAGTATTGACTGTCAGATCAGACGCCGGCACCGCAGCTAATTTGTAGCAGAGAGCTTGGCGAGGAATTAGACATGAATTAAATGAGTAAGAGAAGGCTTTTCTCTGCAGACTGCGGCTGATTGGATTCATATTCAATT